TTGTAGCTGAAACCATGTTTGCTATTCAACTGCGTGAACACAATCTGGGTATGGCCACCCTAGAATATATCTGAACGGAAGAAATTATTTTCTGTCAGAATCATGCAGGAGATAAAGCATCTTTTATTTTTAGTTTGATTTCTGTACTTTTGCTATGGACCACATCTTCAACTGAGCTTGACGAACTCGTGTTTTCTCAACACGGAAAATCTGACTCAGACACGGTTGAAGATGTTGCAACACAGAATGACAAAACTTCCAACACCTGTTTCCATGTATATCGTCCAAGGCCTCTAGGAACGCCAAAATACATCCTTAGCAAAGATGAATTTGTGGCGCATAAAGGGGGGGGTGATGTGGATGACAGGTGTAGAAGTGCTGTAACCATTGTTGTTGCACATACCAAAGTAGGACCAAGATACGATCCGAACGGAGGATCTTACTGATGGTTGATCAGCAAGAGACCCGACTGTGGATGCGTCCCTCTTGGCGCCACCTGTGGAGCTTGGGAATCCGAGACCCTCGGGCTTGGTCTCCCTTGCCCCTTCGGCGGCACACTCTCCCTTGTCTCTCTCTTCTGAGACCCTCTCCTCTCTAAATCTCGACGAAGAGAACTGCCAGCCCTTAGTAGTGGGAAAAGACCACTGCGACCTGGGCCTCCCCCCCAACGAGGGAAGCCTGTGTCCTTAAAACACCCCCATATATATATCATTTCAGTTTGTAGTTGCTCTCTTCCGATTAGCCCCACACTGGGCGCGCTAGGTCCAAATACAGGCACCCCTTGCTGGGGAATTATATGGGGTGTTTGATTTAATTGATTGTTTTTGGGTTTGGGGAGTACATATCCAGTACCTAACACATATCATCTGCACCTTCCCAACATAACATATATATATATATAGGGGTGTTTGATTTAATTAATTGTTTTTGGGTTTGGGGAGTACATATGGATATATATATAGGGGTGTTTGATTTAATTAATTGTTTTTGGGTTCACCACCGCCGTCCCGACGAGCACCACCACAACTGCTGCCGCCCTCGACCCAGCAGCACGACCTCCACGAGTCCTCAAGCGCGGGCGGTTTCATGTCCAAGAAACACGATGCTATGATATGTGGTGAGTGTTTTCGTGGGCTCGGGAATCGTTGCTTTGTGCACAGGTAGGTGTACGGACGCGCGACCGGACATGGGCCGGCTACATATCGTACTAGCTGGAATTGCTGACGTGTATTTCTGCCTCATCGCGATGGTGTTGTATTGTTGTGTACATGTACAGCACTAGATACATGTACCCCAGAACACTCGGCGGTCTCGAGGAGCTGCAACCGCTAACGCTCGTGTGAAGTCGCATCACCAAGCTCAAGCCCAACCGAAGAGATGCCGCTGAGAGGTACATCTAGATATGCATAGAGCGAGCACGAGCATCACACAGAGAAAGAGAGAGAGAGAGAGAGAGAGAGAGAGAGAGAGAGGGAGAGAGAGAGATCCCAAATGCCTTCACGGACACCTTGTGTGACAGAACACAGAACATGTACCGCACCCTACCAAGGCACCACCAACTGAAACCCATCCCAGCTAAACACTGTTGGCTCCCGCGCACCCAAACGTAATACCTCCCACGGGTTCTCCGGTGCCCTCTCCCTCTCCGCCGCCGCCTTCCCGTTACTGCTGCTGTTGCCATTGCTGTTGCCACTGCTGCCGCTGCCGCTGCCGCTGTCAGCCTCTCCCGGCCGTTTCACACCCCGCTCGGCCGAGTTCATGTTCACCACAGCCCCCAACCGGCCCCAAACCGATAGGAAGTCGGGCGTGGGTGGTGGGTAAAAAAAGGCTCTGCTCTTAAAGGAGAGGAGAGAGACATGTATCTGGCCAGGAACGAGTTTTGTTCGTTTCGTGCACATGTGTGAATACTGAAACTGTGTCCGTCCGTCCTGTTCGATCCATCCACCTTACATGACCAGGTATAGGTACAATGTATACACTCGGACGCGGAGTACAGCAGAACCTAGGGACAGCAGTAGTGGTAGGTGCGTCGGTTGCCCTTGACAACTTCTTGGAATTGCTTACGCTAACCACACAGTAAAGGTGTTAGACTGTCGACCTCTAAGATGGTTGAAACATGCACACCACCTGCCGTTAACCGCTATGGTCGGAGATTAGCTTGGATCTTGGATCTGCAGCGGCACGCCATCGTTGGCGCTCGTTTCCGGCAAGTTTACACGAGGGAGCACAATTCCCCAATTGCAAATTGGGGTTCCAGCCAGCGCAATCCCGAAAAAAGCAATAAAGAAATCCCGTCCGAAATTTCGATACTTTTATCGAGTTAAAAAAACTGACAAAAATCCATACTTTAATCAAGTAAAAAAACTGATCAAAATCGACTATGCAATCAAGTCGAAAAACTGATCGAGATTCGTGCTGTATTCAAGTGAAACGTGTGATGGAGACCGCCACATTTAACAAGTGAAAGCATGTGATCACATCCGATAGTTAAATCAAGTCAGAAATGTCACACTTTTAAATTACTTGGTAGAGTCATATGGAATTGGAATCGTTCATTTATGTCAAGCGTTCTAAACTCACTGTTTTGGTCTGCGCCAACATGCACAAAAGCGTCATTTCTCGCGTTTTCCCTCTTTTCGGACAAAACAACAGCAGCACCGGTCCCAGACACAACATTCCACACTACTGCTGCGTGTGTCCACTGTTATGTGCTCCCACAAGATGTCGTGCGTCCTACAATGACTGCTGTCTCCCACCGTGTAGCGTGCAATCTCGCTGCAACACAGCATACTGCTGTATGTAGGCGTGGGTCTGGATGAAAGATTGTCGCGATGATGGCAGCGACCCCAGCGCCTCCGCCACCAGACAACAAACAACATTGCACACTAATCTACAGCTGTGTGCTCCCACACTGCTGTGTCCTCACACACTGACTGCTGTGTGCTGCCACACACTGGGGTGTCGACACGCTGGTGGCAGCAAGAAGCGAAACAACACCAACAACGGCCTTCATGTGTGTCACGCGTTCTAAACTCACCGTTTTGGTCTGCGCCAACATGCACAAAAAAAGCGTCATTTCTCGCGTTTTCCCTCTTTTCGGACAAAACAACAGCACCACCGGTCCCATACACAGCATTCCACACTACTGCTGTGTGTGTCCACTGTTATGTGCTTTGCTGTGCTTTGGGGTGTCGACACGCTGGTGTCAGCAAGGAGCGAAACAACACCAACCAAGATATGAGGGGGCACGCGAACAAAGAAAGCGTTACGCAAATTACGTCCGATCGTGTCTGTATGTCACCGCCCAGCACTTCCATATCACGACATATTATAGTGTGCCGCGTCGACCGTGTCTCTTTCCCTTGCAATGCCCCCTAAGAAGAAAGTCAGGACAATTTGTGGCAAGAACAAGGAAAGAACCCGCAACTTCTTCAGCGCCGAAAGTAGTAAGGACGAGAAAACCGGTAAGGTTCCTCACCACCACCGTCTCCCAACGGATCTTATTCTTTTGGAGCACAGGCAACCTTTGCTGGATCACCATGCTAAAGTTGTCCGGGACATTGAATTTCAAAGACGACAAGCCTTCAAGGCCAAGCGCGATAGGAAGAGGGCGGATGACCGTCCTCTACGAGAAAGAGCGAGGGCTAAAGCGAAGGCTTCAAAAGCAGCAGCATCGCTAGAAAAGAGACAAGAGGCCACGGAAGCATGGATATGGAAACAATAAGCCGATCGAGAAATCACGGCGGAGATTGCGGCAGAAGCTCGCGCAGCACACGATGCCAGCGGCGAGCCCGCAGCCGCAGCACGAAAAACACCTTCCGCGATGGCTCAAAAGGCCGCCCACAGAGCGGCGACTGGTGCAGCGGAATACGCAAGGACGGAAGCAAAAGCGCAGAGACAAGCAGCACTACGGGAAAAAACAAAACAACGAAGACAACAACGACGACGGCAGCAGCAACAGCAGCAGCATCATCAGCGGCTAGAAAAGCTCGTTCGAGACGAAACCAACAGCAGAATCGACAAGCCGCCGAGGCAAAAGCGCAATCAGCAGCGGCTACAGCTCGTTGGAGACAGAACCAGCAGCTTAATCGAGAAGCGGCGGAAGCAAAGGAGAAAGACAAACAGGAGAATAGACGAGCAAAAGCGAGATCAGCGGCGGCAACAGCTCTTTCGAGACACATCAAGAAGCAGAACCGACAAGTCGCGGAGGCAAAAGCGAAGTCGGCAGCGGCCTCCGGTCGTTCCAAAAAAGCCCAGCAAGAGATCAGACAAGCAAGGGCGAAAGAAGCGGAGGCAAAAGCGACGTCGGCAGCTACCTCTGCTCGTTCCACAAAAGCCCAGCAGGATATCAGACAAGCAAGAGAAAAATCAGCGGCTACTACAGCTCGTTCGCAACACAACCATCAGCAGAATCAACAAGCCACGGAAGCAAAAGCGACGTCGGCAGCGGCTAGGGCTCGATCCAGGGAGAAAGCCAGGCAGGAACAGCCCATTTCCAACACGTTCGTCTATCAAGTACTCCGGAGCAGCTGGAACGTTCATTCAATGCGTTTAGCATCGATGATCTGTAGTACTTCTACTTGACGCATCAATGTCTGCGTGCTCCCTTCGTCCCAGGCACTCGTACGCGCCCATGGTCACCAACCCACCTGTAATAGCTTTCGACCACCCTGAAGGAATCTTGGACGGGCAAGATCACCCCCCGTTGACGGAAAACGTTCTCGGCACTTTGATGCTGTTCAAGTCTATTGGTGACTTCCATAAGCATATGGCCGACAACATACACAGTTTTTTTTTTTTCTCCCATACCGCAATCATCACCTTCAATACCATCACCAAACAACCCGGCCACGTCACCGATTGACCACGTAAAACAGCTGTCCGTAACTATCTCTTTTTCAGATTCCATGTTCAACCTCCCGTATCCCCCCGCTCTCATTTCTTCTCCCCTGCCTACGCCCGAATCTCTGCTTCCCTCTCTCACCGGCTCCTTCTCAACCATGGCTCCTACGCTCAACCAGCAACAGAATAAATTCTTCGAGACTCTTTCCGAATGCGACCGAGCCGCCCTCAACGGCATGAATCCTGCTTCGAAAAAACAAATGATCGAAAGGATGATCGCCTCTCACAAGAGGGTCGCGGACAAAGTGTCGGCCTCATCATCATCCGACGTTTACGTCCGAACACCGTCCTTCGCCATCAGAGGCGACACCGACTCCTGCATCCTCTGCAGCGGGGCAAGCGCGGACTTCCATCAATCACACTTTAGTTTCATGTGAGTGAGTGAGTTACTTCTTTCACCGACAGTAATAAGCTGAATGTCGTTGATGTGCTCGCATTTTTTGTGTGGTTGAAAAATCGCATCACACGCGCTGCGTTGAACGCGAGTTGCATGCATGCATGCTGCATGGATGGTCACACCAAATCAACGTATGCTTCAACTAACTGTGCCTGCCACACATTACGAAAGATAGACAGACACATCCAACCACCATCATCACAGTCCTATAAGAGGGTTCAACTAAATCGATACGCTCGCGCCTTCGAATGGCGAAAATATTCCGTGGTACGCATGCAGCTGTTCACGTTCACGTCGCATGTATGCGCACGTCGGCTACATCCAGCTCGCGCACATTGATTGGAAGTAAGTTGTCTACTCCTCCTGTCTCCTCGTTCGTGTACTCCCACTGCTTGACGCTGACTGACTGACTGACTGATGACCTCGATTTACTCTCACTCCCGCCTTGCCAGCACGTTCTAACTACACTGCCTACCTAATCATCATCGTTCGCGAAGCAATCCACGTGTCGTATTTCCTTCTTCTGTTCTTTCAACACCTTCTACGTCAGCCGTCAGCCGATCGCTTCCATATCCCACTCTTGGCATACAACTCTTTCGGCTCCATCGAATCCGTTATCGTTGAAACCAAACATCCACATATATAGCGAGTATTTCAGATGGATCCAACCTAAGGGGGGAGGAGTCTGAAATTGGTGTTTATTGGAGTTGATGAGAAGTGAGCATTTATTATTATGTGCCAAAGAGGATGTCTGCGTGCGTATAGAAGAGGAGGCATGCGCACCGAGAGAAGGCAGCTGCTCGCAGGACATTCCGTTTGCGCCCGATGACGTTGAAGCATCATCAGTGCTGGAGCACAGGGACTGCTAAACGTACGAGTGGACAACACTGCCAGCTACTCCTTTTTAAGACTTTTTGTTCCGGGGAGTTAGGGTTTTTTTTTTTCCCTTCCACCCCCCCCTGAAATTTTTTTTTCAAATAAAAGGGGGGGGGGGGGGGGGGGCGATAACTAAGGTATGTGTACCGGGAGGATACATATATAGGGGACATGTCGATATATGATTGCTATTATTCCACGGGGAACTGGGTTATGAGGGTCCGATTGGGGAGGTGGATGTCAATGGTATGGAGTACCATTGGGGGTCTCGGTGTACTGAGACGGCATTTTGTTAGGGCCTGCCAGTTGACATGGAAAGGGAACTTGGACTCTGGAGGAGAGAGGGAAGCGACCGGTGTCGTCCCCTCGTTATTGGCCAGAGAGTTACCTTCCAGACTTCGTGGAAAATAATAATAAAAATGACACTTCGGAAAAATACAATAAATGTGTATTCGCCGCATCCTGTTTCGCCGTCTCCTAAACGTATTGCTGTAATTTTTGCTGCAGAAAAAGTTTTTCGCCCCAAATAATTTTGTAGGATTCATCCATACATCAACATACATCAAGCAGAGCGCCCGTTGGGATCCACCATCTCTAACATTCATCATAACCTGTCCCTGCTCCTTCAGGTGCCCCAAACCATGCTACCTCTTTGTGGCTCAAACGGCCAAGGAAGGGCAACGTCCCGAGAAGGCTCCCCTCACGTGCGAATCATGCCAACTGCCCATGGCCACGCACACCGCCTACTGGCCGCGAAACGACGAAGGCGGCAACCGCCGCTATAATCACGTCAACGCTACGGAATGCATCCCAAACGATGCCGATAAGGGCAAGTGCGGCATGTGCAACGCAGACGACGTAGACCGTGTCACCATCAACGCAGTCGGCCGCGAGGCTGAAGACCAAAAGGTGTGTCATAAGTCGCATGTTTCATTCGTCTTCCAAACTACTCAGTATGCCCTCCTACTAATAATATACTACCAATAAATGTGTACTTGTACTACTGTACCAACCTATTCTCTGCACCGACTACCATTCAACCCTCGTCTCCTCCGGCATAATAGGTGGACCAAACATCATTATCACCTCGCGTTGTTCGACCACCCACAATTAATTGTGCCATCATTCATTCTTTACCGATTACAACATGACAACAGGTGATCTGCCACCCGTGCTTCCTGCTCCACCGCACGGACAACCTGCAGTCGTGCCAGCCCGCCGCCATACAGAAACGGGAGAGCAAGAAGCTCCACACGTCGCCGGCAAAGCGCGCTAGGTCGTCTTGCTGACGACTCATCTGTTGCTATTTTTGCATTTCGACTAGTAGGATATTTTTTGCTCTTTTTTTGTTTTTTAGCACCACCTATGCCACGCCATACGGCCTTTCTTATTATCGGTTCGGATATTGCTAGTTTTTTTTTACACTCCGCGCCACGCGTGCGTCCGTGCGTGCGCGCTTTTTCCCCGGTTTGTTTACCAGGCCGTCTTATATAGCTGCCTCCCCTTCTTTACGGTGTGGCCATTCCGTTGTAGTATGTACGTTTCCCTTATTAGCTGTTGTTATCGTCTTCCTTTACGATTGATTCTGATTTTAGGGGTTCTTTTCATGCAACTCGGTTTTTCCATTTGCCTATTTTTCTTTTTGTCGCATTTTTGCGGTTGGTTTGGAGATATTATCTTCTTTTTTTTCGCACCACGCTTGCGTGCGTGCGTTCCTTTTTCCAGGTTTTATTCGCGGGCTTCCCGCAATCAATATGTCCTTACTTTACTTCTTCTCCTTCGACGTGGTGGATGAATGAATGAATGGTTTATTTTTCATTATACCACACTCTACTACAATGTACTGCTGTTGTTACTCCTGTATGCAGTGCCGGCGTTGTGGTTCGAATAGACTACGAGAACTTCATTCAGCAAAAAAATGGGTGAAAAAATCAATTGGGAAAGCAGCCGTGGGCACACGGCAATCTATAAAAAAACAATCAGCAGGAAGTTCTCGTAGCCACACTCTTTCCTTGTGGGATGCGGGAACACACAGCAGTCAGTGTGGCAACAACAGGTCTTCGCCGGTCGTGACTGCAGTGCATACTCGGATGCCCAACCAGCGCCTCACCCGTGTAGTTGTTGAAGTGCATGCCGTAATGCGCCGTCACGAACGCGTACCCCCGGGCCATGAAGTACACGTGTAGGTCGCCTGCCCACTGGATGCCCACCTCTTGCAGGCATATCACAGACCCTTTCGATATCTGCAACGCGCACACGACACACGATACACGCCAAAAGCAAGGAGGTGGGAAATGTTTGGGTCCCTTGGGTCAAATCATGGCAAAATCTCCTCCCTGCAGGGAAGCTGTGTCGAGCTGTACATCGGCTGTAAGCGGTGGTGTGCAGTTGGAAAGGGGTCGGGACCCGGTTCCAAGCAACTGACTGCGACAAGATTACGGCGGCGTTGGGGTAGCGCCTGGCTATCTCGCTGTGTAGCAGCAACTGCACGAGAAGCAAGCAGCACAAGAAACATGCACACAGACAAGATGCATCGACTTCGATGTTCGATGTCGTGGCTCTGTGCTACATATACATGAACAGCAGCTAGCTGCTGTCAAGCCGTGTTGCCGTGTTCCGCCCGCACCCGCCTACCTCCGCATCCAGCTTGTGCTTGACCCTCTTCAACCGGGTGGGAGCATCCAAGTTCCTAGGGCTGCACTGAGGGAACCAGGTCGGCTCCGCCAGGTGGCTGCAGAGGATATTGTACGTCGCCACGCGGAAGTCCATCTTGTTCGGCCTCTTGGACCAGGAGCACTTGAGCACGAGGTTGGCAGGAGGCGGTGTGGGCCGCACGACAGTTACATTTTACGATCCGTGCGAAGGGATCCTCCCGCACCCCGCACGAGGCGGCTGCAGTGGGGACGAAGGTACAGTACTACTCCTCGCGAACAGAAGGGAAGAAGCAGCGCGGTGGCCAGTCCAGGCAAGCGATCTCATGCACAGCAGAAGAAGGAGGAGAGCGTGGCGGTGGCACCCGGGGTTCGCCACGTTTCCGGCGACAACTGGGCTCGCCGCACGAGAGCTCTCCAGTTCTGATACGCCAAGGCCAGAAAAGTTTGCTCGGCTGGGCGAAGGTTTCAATGGAAGTTTGGGAGGCATTTTTATGTATGATTTAAAGTATGAGGAGCCCTGCCCACCCACACCCCCTGGTTGCTCCCCGCTGGGCAGGACATCCCTCATCGGCAGACCGTTGCTGCCAATGGCGCGATTCCCGCAGCAGAGAGGACTCGTCTCGGCCCTTGCGGTGGGCCTTGCGATGACCACGAGGGTGGCTTCTTTCAGGTGAATTGTGAATACAGCAGTTGGTTCAGAACGTACGTGAGGCCCTCTCTGTCATCGCATCTCATTGACTGTTACTTTGTACACGCTGACAACATACAAACCAACACTGCCTGCTGCTGCTGCTGCTGCTGCTGCTGCTGCTGCTGCTAATGCTTCACTTAGGCGTCGTTCGTGCGGCACGGCCTGACAATCATGGGGCGTTGCTTACTGTGGGAATAGTTTAAACTGTCAGTCACCCTTGTGGGTTGTCGGTGGAGTTGTGGTGTCACCGGCATGCAACGGCAGCGTCATGTTGTTCAACACAGCGGTGTCATATCTAGACCGCTGTCTGAGCACGGACACTATAGTGGAGGTGTACACACACGACAACAGCGTTCTCGTCGGCCGCTCGTTTGTGATGTGCATTACGCCTCCATCATGTGTACCACTGCTGTGTTCCGGACAGCGCAGTACATTGACATGCATAGCTGCGTTAATTCTGTACTGCAACCCCGTTCGCTGGCATGCCTGAGTAGCACCATCGGCGGAACTGCGGTACAGCACCACACACCAGCAGTCACGTGTTAGCGCTCTCTTAGACCCGCAGGTGCTTGTGTGTGTGCCTTTCGAGCTTCAACCGCAGATCAGACCCAGACGAGCACCCTGTAAACCAGTGAATGGTTATTCGATACTTCGGCGGCTCCCTGCTGCAGTCGTGTTGACAACCTGTGTCGTGTGGCAAGACCGTCAAGTCTGCAGCCGTCGGACAAGCGAAACATGCAAGCAGTATGCAGCCTCACGGCTTTGTCTATAACTACCCCCTTTATCCTGAACCAATTACATTCCCTTCTCGACGAAATCCGCACATGAGACGTGTAGACAGCTGTGGCATCAGTTAGTCCACCGCCGATCCTCAAGCACGTGTCCTCTCTCGTCCCGCCCCCCCCCCA